TGGCGACTCGTGGGCTCTGTACACTGCTTGTCCAGGAGGCCTGGGGCGAAGTTCCTGAGATGTTCAAAGGAGTCATCAGTCCCTCACCAGCAACCGCCTGAAAAACAATCGAGCTGCGTGGAGCGGCGCGGGCAGAAGTTAGTGTGCCCGCTGCTGAGATGGGCCTCACTAGACCTCGTGGTTGATGTCAGTGCGAGCACTACGTGGCATGCTGCGAGTGAAGCAGTATCCGAGCTGCTGATAACAGCTGTTTAAGCTGCTGACCATGACCGGACCCTGCATTCCTGTGTGGACGTTGCTGACAACTGAAAGAAGTCAACATCTGCGAGTCTGAGGACGAGGCCCCGAATCGTCTTTGGAGCACTTGGGCATGTCACCCTTTGTCCTCTGACGGCTCTAGAATTCCAGAATGCTGCAGTTCTTCCGGTCCGAAGAGACAATGGCAGGTCCTGCTTTCCGACAAACACTTTGGCGCCGCTTTGGTTGGCCTTGTACGAAGCGGTACTGAGGCTTAGGACTCGAGATTTGCGTGTTCTCATTTGCCAGAGAACTGCGCATCCTTGTGAACCCTTGCTGGAAATCGGGCACACCAACGAAGGAGCCCGCGCGGGAAGACGACAAATGGTCCTGGGACTCCGACCGAGCAGCAAACACGAAGAGCGGTTACTGCATCAACAGACCACAAGCCACAGGAGAACCGGCAGTCTGAACCTCCTGCAGCGTCGAAAGCCGCTGGCCTCGTGACAACACTGACCATGTCTCTCGTCTCAGCCACATGTCTCAGCAGACGGCATTACTTCTTTGCAAGACAACTGGACAGAAGCAGTCTCTCCACTTGCATGCAGAAGCAAGCCTGGCGTGCGTCTCCTGAGCCCCCTGCGTTGCAGAACAGTTGAGGCCATCGCAAGTTTCTGAGAAAGCCTCGCGTTTGCTGCCTGCCCCTGTCGAGCACGGCATGTTTCTTGGTGCTGTCTGTCGCTGTTCAGACTGCTTCGACACCTGGTCAATAAAATGCATCGAGGCCAAGGAGTCAGTGCCACGGAAACTGGCGCGAAAAACAGGCACTCTTCGAGTACAACAGGTTGCGCAGGTCTGGTAACAAGCCGGGCCCACTGAACACAATGGTGCCTGAGGGCAAAAAGCAGGCAACCCCATGTCTGATGCACATGCCAACACTAAGACCATGTCAAACATTACGTGGTTCGTCGACAACGTGGGGGCCGATGGAGCTCATATTGACATCTGCCGGCTTCTCGACCCATTGGCATGATTAGCTCACTCACTTTCTCCATATTTCTCCGTATCGGCATGCGCCACATTTTCACCACAAGCTTGTGACTCTGTGCACTTACTATGCTGCAGCTTCAATGAGCAGAACTCCCAGTGGCTCAGCATCAACAGAACTGAAGTCCTTCCCACCTTTCCCTACCTACGTTTGGTAAGCCAAGCTGCGCATGCGCTTTCTTTCCGCGCAAGTTCGCATCCAAAACCTTGCAAGACATTCACACTCTCTGTAACCTTGTGCATCTGGACATGCATCAGCAGTGAGATTAGAGGTCGGTCTGTTGCAACGTCTTGAAGCACTGACCAACATGCCTTGCAGGATGTCGCAACCAGAGCATGCGGTACACCAAGCATGTTAGCCAGGAACAAGTTTATCAAGACGTGGAAGTGGCCAGCTCGCTGATGCCAGCTTGTCCAGATTGAATATCACGCTGTGCGAGTATGTCTCCCCTCTTGTGCTTCAAGTATTCATGCTTGCTGCTTTGTGGTCAACGAACGGAACCCTTTGCTCGGGCACCAGCTTCAACCACTTCATTCATCTCAGCTCAAACTGTCGTTTCAGGCCTCCGGTCCGTGGGTTGCCCAGGGCGGAGGTGCTGCACGTATTGGTGCGGCCTTAGAAGCGGAAATCACAAGCTATAGTCTTCTTCATGCCCGATACGAGACTTACTCATGCCCCGAAACCTTGGAAGGACCAGCATGCACGACGTTCCTGCGCGACAGACATGACCAGGTCTGATTATTAATTCGCCTCGGCCGTGGCCGAGAGGTCACAGTTTCCCATCATGAATCCCCGATTCCCCACATCTTAGTCGGTCCGCGCGACACATCCTCCCCTCCTTAAAAATTGGATTTCGGGTTCGTAACCCTTACGTCCAGAGATGCTGCTGAGCACTCGTCGCGATTTGGGCATGTTTTTGTGCGAACACACCGCCGCCCCGGCCCCTCCCCGGCCCCTCCCACCTTTCCTTCCCTCCCCCTTGTCCCCGTTTCCCTTTCTTTTCCTTGAGGCCAGGTTGCTTTCCGCGGGCTAGCTTACATCATCAGTAAATTTGATGCCAAGGCAAGGCTGGTGCAGACAAAAACAAAAGCCTCGCTACGCTAGCGTTCGCGAAAACATTCTGAGGCAAATGCTCTGATTCACTCAAGACCTCAGCTGCGTGAGCTGACCTGTTGCAATCCGAAAAACAATGCACCAGCTTCAATTACAGCCGGGCCGAGGCGGACGACACGCATCACCCACAGCCAAATCGAAGAAGGAACGCTACACAGGCGAAACAATGACACGGAACTCCTAGGTCCTAGGTGCTTGACTTTAACACAAGGTAAAGGGATTCAAAAGCACTCCAATCTTGTTGTATGCCTGTGATATGATTGGACACGAGAACTGTGATTGATTGTGCAGGTGCGCTTTTATCCCGCTTCTGAGCACGATGGGTCCTAGCGACTCCGCCAAAAGACAAAGTGTGGACCTGTTGGAATTCGTCCTGGCATCCTTCCGTGGGCTGTAATTAAAGGCGCTTCTGGGTGATGTCACCTTTAAACAGCTACTAACAAGGTGACCTTTTGCATCAAGCTGTGATGAGTGATCAGTCGATCTGCCCCCGCCACTCCCGACCCGCCCCCCCTGCCTGCCCCTCGCACCGTGTGCCTATCCCTCCACCGTGCACCCCTTGACCCCTAACCCGGCCCTACCCGGACTCCCCTGTAGCCCTAAACCTCACCATGCAGCGTGAAAAGCCCGGTATGTACCGCTACCGACAGCACCCTAAACACCTAAACCCCGAGGCCTGCAGCACCAGACCCCTATGCCTCTCTTCTTAGAACCTTAATGCCGAAACTCCCAAGCTTTCAAACCCCTTCACCCCCATGCCCCTACCCTGCCGCCTCATCATTCGATTTGCCATGCTTCTCAAGCTTCTGATCAGGTAGTTTTGGCTCCATCGAGCTTGCGCGTTATCCTGTCTAATTGAATGCTGCAGCCTCAAGTCGGGATCGTTGGCTTGCTCCCCCTGACAACAAACAAAGCATTCTGTGCGTGAGACCAGGTGCCATAGACCAAGTGACATCCCAAATCATTGCAAGGGGGCTACTATGTGCAGCTCTTCTTCGACTCCGTATCCTTGTGCACGAGACGATGCACACCCGTCATTCAGCAAAGGTGCAATTGCAATGCTCCAAACGAGTAGACCATCACGGCCGTGAACTTACGCTCATTTTAAACAGGCCCTACGCACCCCCGCCAATGACGCAACGACACCAACTTGAGATGTACATGTACACTAAACGAGGCCGCCACAGTGCTGCTTCCACCTGGTGCAGAAGATCCAGTGCTTAGACGCAGCCATCTTGCTGCAGGGTCTACTCCGGCTTGTACACTGACAGCTTGAAGAAGCGGATTCTGTTGGAATCGGTAGGAGCGAAGCTGGCAGCTTGGTGGGCTTTGACGAGCTGGCAAGGCCTCAAGAGGCTCCGGCCAGGAGAGGACTCTTGAAAAGGCACGATAACGGTAGAAGGTGAAACGTGAGCCTTCCTCGTGGTGCAGCGCCTGGGCCGGCCACGGGCTGCTTACTTCGAACCTGAGCTCCACGACCATACCCCTTTCGACATTTCGAGTCGATGCAAGTAGCCGCCTATCGAACTTTGGCTCCCTGGAACATGAAGAAACATCTTCGTAGAGGCACGACCCTCTCCCGGAACACCTTCCAGCCAAATCGGCTTGCTGTTGAGAGACCCTTGTGAACAAGACCTTCTACGGTCGGGGTACAGTGGGCTCGAGAAGGGGCTCTTGCTACGCAGGGCTTGGGTAGGAAAATTTCCTTCGAGAGAGAGAAGACCACAACCTCTCGCGACATTTTGGGCGGAATTTTGGGCGGTAGATATATGTAAAACTGCCGAGCAGCTCCCGCCATGCCAGGTGCCATTAGCCAGCACAAGTAGACACACTGCTAACCTTGCCACGAACTGCATCAGTGAAAAGCAAGACATGGCGGCAACAGCAATGGAAGAGGTTCAATACCTGGACACGGCTGCATTATATAACTCACGCCGCTCGTGCTCAGCCATCAGCAGTCACCACGAAGGCATGCGGGGAGGTGCGACATCCTGAAGCTTGTGCTAGGTGCCCAGTCCGCGTCAGACCGCTCCAGGGCGTTCTTCAAGCACGCCGAGCTGCGGACGGTTCCGTTTCATCCGAGAGGCTTCGGATTGAGCAGCAACGTCTGCAGCAACTCCACGTAAAACGAACCCGTTCAAGTCAACCACTGCTGAGGCACACTTCACCTGAGAATGACATGTCACCGACACCGAAATATGGTTGGTCTTCTCCCCTGTTGAAAAACTGGACGAGATCGCGCCAGTCGGGGCAGATACTATGCTACACTGCAGCCACCTGCTTTGGCAGCACGGGCCGTGCACTAATTATTCAGCGCCAAAGTATGTACCGACAATATCGGTCCCTGCATTGGCCGTTTGGCTCTTTGCGCCTTCTGGTGGGCTCTGGCTGTTCCAGTGCCGGCCAGCAGCGCTTGTTCGTGTGGCGAAGACGAGAAAGTTGCAGATTTTGTGCCTCGAGTAGGGTCTTGAAACAGGGTAACACTCGACAAGCAGGGCCGCTGTTCTGCCGGCGTGCCGATGTAAAGACACTGGCACTCCATGGCACTCCATACACATGGCGGGAACATGGTAGATTGCAAAATGAATTCGAAGGATGGGCATCAGGCCCTCCATGATTGGTCAAAGCCTACCGGACCTGAGCTGCCATTCTTGAAATGCGAACCCTCTCGCTTCTGCCTCTGTTATAGCCGGTTATATGGCAACGGTTGTTGGACCAAGTGACTGCCAAAACCAGCTTGGTTCGGCTGAAAGCGCGGAGGGCACGGCATACTGGAAGCGTGTGGAAATTCAGCAGACACCGGCGGAGGAAGCCTGACGCACCAGCTCCTACTTCTTGCATGGTCAACATGCCGTTAGCACCACTGCACAGCAGACCCAGAAGGCCGAAGCCCCTTTCCATCTTTCAGAAGGTTCGGACACTCTCAGCAGACTTACACTGGAATGCCATCTCTCTCAGCCTGCCTCTCATGGTAAGTTAAGTCTCTGTCCTGCCTTTCTCTCACCTGCCTCGTATCAGAAAATTACGTGTGCTATTGGTTGGGCGCGCTCCGTAATTAAGCGCGTACATCTGTCTTGCCCTTTCAAGTTTCCGACAGTGGATTAACGTTGAAAGGTGATTTTTCTATCTATCCGTGAAGGACGGGTGTAGGTTAACGGCACGATGATTCAAGGTGTGCAGAACTATTTCTGGACCACTGAATTTTTTCAGAATTGAGGAGGCAGCTGGGACGGTACTGCAGCATTCGCCAAGGCGCCAAAACCCAACAACAGCAAATTTGGTCGAAGGCACCTCTGTGGCACCTGTGGGGTAGGCCAGGAAGAGCGCTCGGGCGGGTTCGCATATCGTTGAGAGGCATCATAATTTTGATATGCCTCCCTGACTGCCTCTGCACCCAAGAAGTGTGGCATCCATTCAGGGGAATCCTCCTGCATCGCGGAAGCTCTGGGAGACAGCTGAAGGGAAGATGGGGAGCTCTGGCCACTCGGATCCCACGCACTTTGAGCCATGTAGCGGCCCGGGCTTCCAGTAAAGTCTGGAGTTTCCCTCGGAGCTGTGGACAAGCGCTCGACCTGCCAGCTCCACGGGCTTCCATTTGCTTGGGACGGCCATCTTCCGTTGTAGCCGTTGTAGCCACCGGAAAGTTTCGGACCAAAGTCAACTGGGTGTAGCGGTCGGAGCGCGGATCCGTGTGACTCATTTGATGCAGCTTGAGACAGCATGTTCTGCTCAAGCTCCTGGTCCGTTGGTGGCAGTGCCATGTATCTGTGTTGGCTAAGTTTTCCTTCCTCGTTTTTTCGCGAGCGAGACACCTGGCGCCTCCACGTCTTCGGGCACAGGCGACCGCGTCGGAAAGCAACACACATGGCCACACATGAAAGTACGATCAGTAGCAAGACCAGCCAGAACCAAAGGTTCGAAAAAACTGTGCCATGATCCGTTTCCATCTCGGCCTTGGACGGCTCCGACTCGTGAGGGAGATTGTGACACAACTGTGGCCCTGCAAGGGTATCCTTGACAAAGAAAGGTGTTGCAGACTTTCCCTGGAGACTGCAGATCTTGGTAGTAGTCAGGTAGGAAAAGAAGCGGCAGCCCTGCGTTTCGGTACACCGCACTTGACAAGCTGTGGCTGTTTCGACCGCGGTCTGCTCAGCATTGAGATCTGGCGTATACCGCGTCCCGAGAATGAAACACTGCGAACCTGGCACCACCGCAACCGCAACTTGCATCTCTGCACCTGGTCCGGTGTCGGATCTTAGTGCTGATAGCAACTTGCGCTTCGCTTTGCTCTCATGGGCGACCCGCTCTATGTCGTGGAGCTCACCACCAGGTGGTACGTCCACAAAGCAGTGGACCAGGATCTCGCCTCCACCTCGCGAGCTGAAGGAAAGGGAGACCTTGCCCGCGTTGCCGCGCATGTCACGGATATCATGATCAGGTATACCTGCGTATTTTGCAAACTCAGCCGCTATCTCCAACTGGAGCAGATCCGTCTTGCCCTCAAGGCTGGAGGTTTCTCCGACATCTTCAAGTTTCAACTGCACCTGGGCCACACATTTTACAGGGCCAGAACTGAGACCCACGGATTCCCTCCAACTTGCTTCGATGTCCAACATCCGGCAGTTGCCGTCCGCATGACTGAACGTAAAGAAAGCACATCCTGGTGTTGCACGGCAACGAGCCTGGCAGAGTGTGAGATTCGGCTGGACCGAAGCCAGACCGACACTGCCACCTACATACTCAGTGTCGCTGTAGAGACATCTTGCAGAGCTCGCTTTCGGCTTTGGAACTTCTGCTGCCACGGCCGCATCGCCACCGGGTGGAGCAGCAGCTGTCTCAACCTTCTGAGCATGAGCTGCTGCGCCACCTGGTGGCTGATTCGCATTCTCTGGCGCACAGCTGAAGAAGATGGAGGAAAACTCTTGTTTCGAAACCTTTTCGTCGCCGTTCGCATCTGCATACACGAACGCCTCGTCTGGCGACGCCTTGTTCATGCCTGCCTCCGGGCGATAGCTGGACCAAAATGATGTCTTCCACCTAGTATAATCTACTGGAGCAGCAAAGTCAAACTCCGCACCACTCAACCTTAGCTGGCCAGCATGCGAGACCACAGATCGTGAACCGAGTGTGGGCATGACGACAGGAACAAGGGCTAAGCGATCCAGAAACCGATTCGGCATGCAAACCCAAAAAGTCCACGCAGCCTGCATCGGTGCTTTGAAATCGGCCCGCGAGCGACGTGTGAGAATGCTATACTGCCCAGATATGCCGGCAACAAGCAGCACTAGCAGTTGGCTATCCCATAACCGCGAGGAGCCAACAGCTTGGTATGAGCTGATGCTGACAAATGCTACCAAGACAAACAGATTGCCGGCAAAGCACGCATTCCAGGCTTCATCCACGTTTGCGTACTGCTTGCGGAGAAGTTCACACCATGCAAACATGGAAAGGTAGATGCTGGCCAAGCCATAGGCAGTCTCAAACCTCGAAGTTGCATGCAACAACAATGCACCGTCGATCTAGCAATCACACCGGCAGCAGCAGTGGCAGCAGCAGCAGCGTTGGCTGCATTGTCAGAAAGTTCATCGCTATGACACGTTCGTGACGGTGCTGGCACACTGGTGGTGGCGATCTAGAAGCAAAACAATCTTACGCTGCTCCAACTGGTTGTGCAGGGATCCCTGACGGGCCTTTGCGCACGTAATATCTCGCAATTGCAGAACGAGAAAACGTGAGATGGGCAGGTCTCTCAAAAATTGGAGCTCGATGGTGCAGAATATTGTTCTGTCCAGGCATGTGTGTGATGCAAAGGCCTGATGTAGTCACTGTAGTCAATGCAGTGGGCATGTTCCGCCCATTGAGTTCTGGAGAGATCTCTTACCACCCAGCGCCTGCTTGCCTATGGCACAATATGGCACCTGGCAGCAGTAGCGCCTCTCACTGTGACTGTGACGGCATCGTCGATATCGTCGTCTAGTGCCGCTTGTGCTGCAGAAACTTGCCGAGATACTCTGCTTTCTGGACGTAGCCATCGGGCGGTGTTCCACCTTGGCCGGCGCATGTGGCAAAAAGCTTCGCGCAAGCGGATGATGCCGCATGTTTTGATGCGCCTGTCGTGGCCACTAAAGAGCCACTTCTCTTGTGAAACTTATGCTGCAAGACGTACAGCGCTCCAAACACCATGCCGCCTGGAGTCCCAACGAATCAATGAATCGAAATGCCTCTCGCCAACCAGGGTGTACAAGAGCAGCAAGTGGCCACGGAGACCAGACATCACCAAATATGTAGAATGGAACCTGGGCTCTTGAGCGCTGATGGCAATGGAACCCTGAGGCTGCGATACTGACACCACGCATTAGTTTGGTGCCCAGATGTGCGCAGGGTGGACTGAAATCAGCAATCTTCCAAAAAAAGAGTCCTTACTTGGCATCTCTGAGCACGCGGCGGGCCCAGGTGCCAACGGTTCCACCGATTGCATGGCGCTGTCACATAGCTTCTGCCACGCCTGTGACCGGCTACAGTAAGTTGCACCATTCTCACAACATCGGACCCAGACTCGGGCCGTGGGCATACGCTGTGTGAGCCATGTAAAGCCATTCGCTACAGCCAGAAGCGGGTGCAACTGCCAAATGAACAACAACAACAACTACTACTACTACTACTACCACCACTACTACTACTACTACCACTACCACTACCACTACCACTACTACTACTACTACTACTCCTACTACTCCTACAACTTCGACTACGACTCGACTACTTACTACTACTTCGACTACGACTAGCAATGACTATCTTGCTACTGTTGCCTGGTACTGGCTTTCGTGCTAGCATCAAAAGCAGTAGCATCAGCAGCGCCAGCAGGAGGAGTAGTAAACAGCACTCGTAGCAGCAATCGCGACGGTGATGCTGCTGGTCTTACCACCCGCTACTTGCATCGCACTGCATGCATCCACCCTGTCCGACGTTCGGCAGTAGCATGACTGGCATTTGCAATGGCTTTGTATTTCGCATCGACGCTAACTGTCCTTCGTTTGATCTCACCAGAACCCTAGCTGTGGGACGACAGTCTCTGACTCGAATCTTCAACGTGCAGCAGAGTGCTAACTTTCCAGACCTTCTTCAGCCAAGCTTCCACATCAGCAGAGTCGTACTTGGACTGCACCCATGAACTCCAGTTAAAGACCAATTGGCGAGCCGCAAAGCGCGCAAAGTCGTCGCAGCCCTGTCTTGAGTTGCAGAAGTGCATAATGCTCCAAAAAACGATGGCAGTCTCTGCGACAGAAGATGTGAAACCCGCTGTTGCTGACGGCCGAAGGCTGTCCGTCAACCAGTGCAAAGTTGCGCTGGTGAGTGCTAGCTTTCCTGTTCCTGTCTCATGCTTACCTGTGAGTACATGGAGGAACAGGACCCCCACTAGCATAAGCTCAGCCTCAACACTGCATCGATACGGCTACGACACATACTCCTACTAGCACTCCAACTGTAACTCCTCCTCCTCTTCCTCCTCCTCTTACTACTAACAGTACAACAAAACAAAGCTATGTTTCATAGTCACTACTACTACTACTACTACTACTACTACTACCACTACCACTACTACTACTACTACTACTACTACTACTACTACTACTACTACTACTACTACTACTACTACTACTACTACTAGTACTACTTGTAGTTGGTAGGGGTTGGGGTGCCTACGACTACTGCTGCTGCTGCTCCTACTATACTACTAACTACTACTAGTACTGCCACGCTTCAGCGCCTCGGGAATGCGTAAACGTGTAAATACTGCCGACACAAATAATCAAGCCATGCTTGCTTGCTCGGACGCTCATCCGTCTCTGCATCCCTTCCCCCTGTGGAGTCTTCCCGTTGGGTGCCCTTACTTCTGTCAGGTGGAGCGGCATCCTAGTGACTATTAGTGCACCTGCTTTCTGCTGCCACTGCCGTTTTACAACTCATCCTCCGAGTGGTGCTGTCAGTACCGCTTCACCCCAACCGTCTAGACAGTTGTCATTTCAAGGTCTGCCCAGTCCAAATTCTTACACAACGATCAAGTAACATCATGATAAGCCCAGCAGCTGTTGGCAAAGCAGGGCTTTTGCAGCCATTGTACGCTGAATATGCGAAGCCTCACATGTTTGACAGGCGTGCCTTGACGACTAAACCTGAAGCCTGTGAATCTTTTGTGCAATCTCAGCGGCTGATGTTTGCAAGATGCCGCTGTGCACCTGCCTCTGCATGTATCAGGACCGCAAGTTCCTTAGAACCGGAGCCAAAAAAAAGCTTCGACAGGCTTCTGCACTGCCCAAGCATTCACCAGATAAGGGGGGCTCAGAAAAGCACCAGCTCATGTGCCTTACATCCTTAATCACTCAACTTCCCTACGCACCATCGCGCATCAAGGATTTGGTGGACAGCCCGAGGGGTCTAATACCTGGAAGTAAGTGAGAATGACGTGCCCGTTCACTCGGGCAGCTCAGGGCCTCTACACGTGAGCCCACCACTCCAACCCCAGGACGGAGGTGCAAATCTCAGTAGAATGCTTGCAATCAAGTATGCGCAAAATTTGCGACATCATGCGACTGTGTAGTGTCAGAACTCGAGGCGAAGCCACAAGTAACGGTCAACTGCAATGAACAGATCATGCCAAGGTACGCTGGGAGTCGTGCCCTGATATGTTATACCTGCTCGCCACGAACCTCGACAAAGAGCATCACATTACGAGAGAACACAAGTGCGAACGCACTAAAAACATATCTACACTGGATGGGGAAAAGCTTAGTGCAGAGGAGAAGCCCAGCCACTGTCCAGTGGCTTCAGACACGACCTGGCCTGCAAGGGCTCTCGTCGCGTTCTCGGAAGCTGTGCACTTCTACACGGCTTCAAGTCGGAAACTTGGGGAGGTTGGAAAATGAGGAAATAGGTAAGCCAGGTAAGCTATCAATTAAGCGCAAGGAGCGATGCCTGCATCTATCTCAATCGACAGGCCCCGCCAGTCTTGCGACTTCGGGCCCTGCATCAGCGGGGTCATCGCTGCAACTTGTGCAGGATCGCCCACTGCAATCGTCAGCGCCACTGAAGACACGACAGAGACTTGGCCATCCTCGGAACACGAGCACGGCAACTCTGTTGCACCTCGGGCCTTGCCAGGTCACACATCGTGACAACTGAGAGGCTGGCCTTTACGTATGGAGGAACTCTTATGGTCATCCCCTCCTCTTGGCTTATGGGCGCATAGGCAACTCCTGCCATGCAGTGTGCCACGGCTCTGTGCCAGAACTGCCAAGCTCTTCACTCTCTCAACGGGAAGCCTGAAAGTGCATCACAAGGGAAAAGGACTGTGGCATTCCTGAAATAGCCTTTGGGGCATGCAGCAGATGCCTCAGTAACAGAGGGGCTCAAGACCGTAGCATGCACTGTCAGGGGGTTCTGATGGCACTGCAGAGCGAGACTTGGATGCTGGCACTTGGCGCATTGCCAGCGCTAGGCGGCAATCCAGTTAAGAGAAACAGAGCAAAGGCACTCCGTATGACCATTCCGCCGAGACCCAGGCATGCCAAGCTCTATTCTGTCTCAGGTTCTAAGAATCCCAAGAAACTGCTTCGCTGCTGCTGCACGGTCGTGCTAAAGCTGTGTTGTACTTTGCATTTTTGCAAGTTTTGCGCTGCTTCATGACATGGTCTTTCTAGGGCTGTTTTGTTTTGTATGTATTGTATAACAGTATATCATATCATGCTTGGTGCTGCTATTGCGTGCTGCTTCATGGTATGTCATGTCCAAGCATGTGTTTACCTCGTGCTTTGTTACGACTGCTTGCCGGAAGCGTCCCACAGGACTCCGAGCATATGACTGAGTGGGAGACCTGCCCCTCAACCTATCAGCTACAGCTATTCAAAGCTGGGTAGCATCCGGCAACGAGCAAATCTGAGTTCTGGTGTTCAGTGCATGCCAGCGCAAGCAAGCGGTTCAGCAGCCAAGAATTGCCCATCATCTCTCCTCCTTTGGTTTTCAGGCAGACCGGCAGAGTCAGGACTCGCGTTCTTGTCAAGCGTCCGCTCCCGGCGGCGGTGCGGCAAGGAGACGGATCTTGATTTCAGACATCTCCTGCCAAGCTTGATCATCGACATCATGAAGCAGTCCCGAAAGAGTGCACAGTAAAGCAGATCTTTTGCCACCCGCCCAGCTGAACAATGTCTCGCCGCAGGGAACTCGTCTGAACCACTGGCTGGAGGGATCCAAGGAGCATGCGATCTCCAAACAGACAAGCCCCATCTTGGCAAGACCGATTGACAGTAGGAAGGCAGCACAGACGCCAGGTGTCCTTCGATAACGTCGGCCTAGGCATACTGCAACACTTGTGCAGCACTCGCAATGTCTCGTGCAACATCCAGGTCACTCAGATCCCGGCACCTGCTCTAAGGCATCATTTGCCGAGCTTCTGGTAAGCCTTGTGATGCTGTCCTCGAGAGGGGTGACTGCAGGAAGGCCAGGGTGACTGGCACAGTCTTAGAAACCGAGCTGTCTGCTGCAAGCCCTTTCTTTGTTTCCTTGGCTGAGTAGGATGAGTCTCAACCCCTCAGCGCCGAGTATTCATGAGAGGAGTCGTCTGGGCTGGTAACCGGGTGGTGCGAGACAAGACTCCCGAGACAGTTGGTCGGATTCCCATGCTGAAAGCGGCATGAGGGAGTCTTCCAGAATTCCCACCTGCAAGCTGGCATAATTTGGCTACTGCAGAAGATCTGATCTGTCCAACCGGCCAATTCCATCCATCTGGTGCGAAGCATTTACTATGGACGCAGGCTGCTGGCTACAATAAAGATGCGGAGGCCTTCGCGACTATGTCTTGCAAGTGCTTCGCCTGACAGCAGACTGGTATTCGAATTGACTGCTGCCCCAGCTCTTGAGTGGCAAAAACCCAGGAAGCCTCCATCAACCTACGAAACACCTCTGTGAAACACGGTGCCCTCTGTCTCAGGTCCTGGCCATGTCGGCATCTTCTGCCTTGCAGCTTCGGCCATCTGCCACAATCCTAGAACCTACCAGGAATAACGAATCACATCGAACGCGCAAACATAAGCAAAACAAACCAACACCAACTACAATGCTTGTTAAGCACAGGCTTATGAGCAGACGGACAACAACGCACAGAAAAAGGTCGTGACATAGCCAAATGAAGACGCTCACGTCTACACCTGAAGGAGTGAACCTGAAAGCTTACAGGTGTGCGTGCAAACATGCACACGTGAATACGTGCATACCGGCAAGTAATAAATTTAAAGTAGTAGAAGTACCAGAATAAGCATCGTCGTCGTTGCCGCCGTAGTTGTTGTTGTCACTATGGATTGTCTGATTGCTGTCGAGGATCGACTCTCCTCGCATTGTGCACAGCAGTAGCAGTAGTAGTCGTCGTCGTCGTGGTGGTGGTGGTGGCATTCGCAGTGGCAGTGGCCGTGGCAGAGGCATTGGCAACGGTAGTCGTGGTGGTAGTGGCATAGCAGCAGTATGCAACAGTAGTAGTAGTAGTCGTCGTCGTAGTAGTAGTAGTCATCGTCGTCGTCGTAGTAGCAGCAGTAATAGTAGTAGTAGCAGTAGTAGTAGCAGCAGCAGCGTTAGTAATAGTACTAGTACTAGTAGTGGTGCATAAAGGAGTTGCAGTGGAAGTAACAGCTCCGGCGGCAGCAGCAGTGTAGTAGTTGCAGGGTAGGTAGGCAGGGAGGTAGGTAGGTAGGTAGGTAGGAATAACGTGATACGAACGCAACACTAACCCACGGCTGACAGTCGAACTCGCGATCGTTGAACATCGTCGTAGAAATACGCATGGCCCATACTGTTCATACTCACAAGTGAGAAATGCTCAGGGGGCTCATCGTAGAAAGTAATGGCAGAAGAGACAAAGAATAGCACCAGTTGTCCAGGCATTAGTGGCAGTCAACCGTAGCTTATGGTACGCAGGTACGCTTTATGCGGTAAAGTTTATTGTGCAGTCGAAGGCTCGAAAGTTGAAAAACGACTGCAAGCATGCCGCGCTCTTATGACGCTAGAAATACTTCAAGTCAATGTGGTGGCGTTCTGACTCTAAGGTAACACTGAACCAGAACCAATCTAACGCATGTTAACGCGACTCCAATATGTGAATCCGCGCGGTCCGTCTGCATACATGTTCTTCGTTTGTATGCCTGTTGTCCGCGGGTTTTATCGCAGGAGGCATCTATATAGAACATCTGGAAAGCCTGTTGAACAAAGGTGCCCAGGCCTCGACACTCAACAGACATCCCCCGATATTCATTACCCAAAATCTCACAATGAAGGTACGAACTCCGAGCTTAAGATGTTGCAGGAAAGGGACGTCTTGAAGCGACTCACTCAGCAGCTTCATGAACTCCAAGCGTGGCAAGGTGCGATAGAGCCTTGCAACGAGTTGCGCCGGTGCAACCAAGGAACTGAAGACCTGCAGCTCAGATGCAGCGCAGATCTGAGTCGCCGGCCATAAATCCGCAAGCTGATGAAGTTTTCCGAAGAACTCAAGCCTGCAAAGACAGCTGGTCAGCTACGGTCTATGTTAAAGCGCTGCATGCTGTCAGCTGGCATCCTTTCGCGTCTTTGTTGAACCATGGCCACAGCAGCTTGCATCTCCTGAATCCTCGCAATGTGAGACTACGGCTGAACATCGGACTTGCTAAGTCATCTTGGCAAGTGCTGTTGGTTCAAACCATGCCCCCAAGGCACTGGATCTCCATTCTCTGCACTGCATCGATTTCTAGGAAGTCATACAACACCTCTGCGTGCTGAAGGCCAAAGGTGCTTGGTCGTCACACTGCACGGCCAACTGCTGATGAGCCCTGGTTCTCTTCGCCACTCAAACTAAGTTCAAGTCGAAAGATGTGCACAGCAATGCGACCTGAGCATCAGGCAGACTCAAGTGGGAATGACGCACCGGCTTGATCATGTGCAAAAGAAAGGAGAGATGTGCGCTTGTTTGCAGCCATGTCGGCTGCGATGGAGCACGTGAGAGCTCGAGAATACTCACTCACCGCCACGCAGCTCAGAATGAGCAATGGTATTCCAGTGACAATGCTCACCAACAACCTGAAGTCCGACACCGTGCATGCTCTCATGCAAACATGAAACGAAGCAGAAGAACGACTCTGCATCTATGTCTTCGCGACATGCCATAAGATTGAAACAGTTGTGAGCACGAAACAAAGCTAGCTGCGTCGCGAGGGTGACAGAGCTAACACTGCCCTACCACCTAACATGCAAACATATGCAAACACTATCCAAAACCGCAGTTTGCCATCAGCTGAGGAATCAGGCTGGACATGTTCAGGCGACAGAACCTCGGCAACCAGCTGTGCATGCTGCCCAAGGTAAAAAAATGTGCTGCCAGGCATGGCCACTGCATGCCAATTATCTGCTGCCATGCGACCGTGCAGGAAAACAAGAGGCCGTGGATTTGAACTGGAAAAGACCCTTCCTCTTCATCTCCTGCTGTCTCAATACCGATCCCACATCCTTGGAATAAACGCCCTGCCCTTCGACTGCGCTGCACGACACAGGGCTCCCGAAAGCAGCTAGAAAAATCATAGCAGACAAGATGCCAATGTCAATTCGGAACCTCGCTCGCAGATGTTTTTGCCAACGCCACTTGTCACTAGCAGCACGTACACCGCTTTAAGTACACCTTCACGAAACGGCAAGTTGTTCGCCCTGTGTCTGTGTCGAGGATCCACTTCAGCTCACGAGGTTCTGCGATGCCGTCGTGCGACTGGGCTGAAAGGTCTGGGACTGAGTAACACACACCGTCTACATGAAGCTAGCTTCATCTTCAGAGTACGCACTACTAGTTCCACATGGTGTTGGCAACGATGCAAATGCTAATGTGTGCTCGCCAGCTTGCAAAGGTTCCAAACGATCCGTCTTCTTCATCTCCTGTCTTCGGGTTCTTCCTTCGCTTGACCCATCGCCCCAGGCCAGTCAAACGAAGAACCTGTGGCCATTCGCTTGCAAACAGCCCAATGTGCCTTTCCCCTCTTTGATCCCCGGCCTTTCTCGGCACATGCGTGACCTTCTTCCATTTTTGACGCCTCCAAATCTGAAAGCGAGAAGAGAGCAGCTGCTGCTCAGTTCCCACTGTGTTCTATGTGCTCGACAAGCTGCAATCCCGAAGCTTTTTTCTTTGCTTCCTGAACTGAGCGAACAGGAACTTCACAAGGGAACAGTGCCGAAAGGGTCCTATACTGGGAAGACCCGATACAAATCACGTCAAGCACATGTAGACAATCCTTGAAAAGGCGGTCCTCGACGTGGTTGCCAAGAAACCTTACTTCTTTTGCCTTCGCACGGTTCCCAACAAGCTCCTGGGCGGACCGGCGGAGCCGGCTCTGCGCGGCACTTACGAATTGCATCAGAGCAGGGAACTGCATCGACCCAAAAACAATGTAACCCTGAAGGAATTCGTGGCACCCATGTCTCCATCATATTACCGCCAACTTCCTGCTAGTGGCACCGCACGGCATCTGCTACGAGCTACCAGGTCCCCAAGCCGCACAAAAATTTAGTTGATCGCGCACAGTCTGCGCAGCATCTTTTCTGAGGTCCTAATCGCTGTCAATTTTCTTGAAGATTCAGGGAGCCCTACTGTCATCGAGCTGCCATAGTTGCTTCGAGTCCCACAGCTGCCTTGCATACAGCCGAAGACTTGGCCACGATCTTCTTGGAATTGTTGTTAACCCCTCTCTGTCTCTCAAACCCTCTAGTCCCTCCCAAACCGTCCACACCCATTGTTCTTTACTTGTCTTTCTTCAGGTGTTCTTCGCGTTTCTTTCAAGCGAATGCTTCACGAAATGCTGCGCATTCGAGCGGTTGGCTCCTTTTTGTCCCGATCGCTGATCCTTTTCGAAGGGCGTGCTTAGGGTACTTAGGCCCATAGCCCCTTTCCTCCAATCCGCTCCGCTTGCAGGCAGTCCCCCAGAATCTTCCTAGCCCGTCTCGGAATTTTCACTTATGCAGGTCTGCATTCTCAGATTGTTTGATCCCTTTCTAGCTAGCTTGGCTGCTCCGTGCCTTTCAAGGGCTTCCTCGTTACTCTGACATGCTCTACTCCCTTTCGAAAGGTTGACTCTCCTCTGTTCGACCACCCGTCTTGCTTAAGCGATTTGCTAATCTTCGCCATGTGAGACAATCAGGAATTATTAAGCAAATGCCAATCACCTTCGCACGGTTGAGCCTCGCTCCCGAAGGGGCAATAGCCCAGCGACAAGTTCGCTCAGAGAGACTGTGCGAAGGAGGAGCAAGCTGCTCTAGAGGGATGAGAACATGGAGAGGGATGTTGGCCACGTGAGAAAGGGGAATCACGAGGAGCCAGCAGAATGCAAGAAAGGGGCTATGGGCTTCGAGAAATCATTCCGGAAGTCGACAAAGAGTGGCAAATCGCTCGAAAGGGACACCGACGAAACACATTGCTCGAAAGTGGCTAACCATGTCTTGAACAAGAGACACAAGCTGTTCGAAAGGGACGAGCAGCTGCGAGCACATCCGGGTCGACGAGCAAAAACGGGTCATCCTAGGGGCTTTGAGGCATATCAGGCCCTGCGAGCAACTCGCCAGGGAGTAACTCGCCTGACGGTTCGGTGGGCAGCTCACCCGGGGACCCTCCCTATACAAATGGGTTGAAGTTTCAGAGTGTCCCATTTTGCAACACTCCTTGCTCCTTCGAGTGGTCATGGTAGAACTGACACTCCGTTAAGACTTTTTGGAACGGAGCATCTTGGTTCTGGTTGGCAGTGGAAAGCACTCCTTCCAAGGCCGCTCGCTCTTCCCGTTGTACTTCTACTACTACACTCTCTTTCTCAATTTCCCGAGCTTTCGAGCAGCGTGCTCCCGTCGCCGGACATTGAAGTATTGTGGGTATTCGCAATGGGTTCGTTCCCCTCATTTCCCCTTCGATAGGCACCTTTCTCTCAAACTCTCCGCGTCCTGAATCCCTTTCGACCGGCGTGGTCCGCTTTGTCAAGTTGTATCGTCCCCTCTCGAAGCGACATCGTCTCAAATTGTTCAATCCATCGAGCTACTTGAATCTCGTTGTGTCCCGAAAAGTTTCTGCGGTATTCTCCTGTCAGGCCATTGTGTTCAAGCAGAAAACTATAAATAGTTGCCGACATGACAACCCACCACCGCAATCATTGACAGAACGACTGTCCGGTGCAATACGGTGCGAACAGAAGACGGCGTGTAAGGTGCGAACCAACGCTCTGGACAGTTCCCACTGGCGACCCACGGCCACACTACTGAAAGCACAGTAGTAAAACCAACCTAAGAGTTCTAGGCCCAAGGGGATCAAGGCACCATGGTGTAACTCACTAGCATCCGTGCACACGACAGTTGCGGAAGGAAGCATCATTGAGCCTTCGTTGACACCGAAACTTGCTGCATTCGAGGTTCAGCAACTTCAGCTGCTGAAGCACATTTTGCTCGGAGTTCTTCCTGTGTCGCTAGAATGTACGGCTCATGAATCGGATCCACAGCACCTGGGCAGCAACTACTGGTTGCTTAACTCATCGAGGAGCTTGCAGGACTCGACAACAACCAATCTGCGTGGCTTCGACAACTCTCCTCGTTATAACTTTGACTGTGGGACATTCTTCGAAAATGGCCAGGTACTGCACAATGAAGGATATGAAACTCCTCAGTCAAGCTCGCGACAAAAAACAGGTTCGTCGCAAACAACAAGGGGCACAAAGCAAGACATAGGTATCTTGTTTTCAAAAAATAGTGGAACAAGAGACCGAGGTTCTCTGGCGAAATTTCAATCGTGGAAACGGCAAGTTTGCGCACCATACCCTTCAGAAGGAAGGTGTGAAAGTCGCGCCTGCGCCACTCTTCTACATTCTTCTCATACGACTTGCTCAAAGGATGCAGCAGGCCACCGTTGAATCCGCAGGCCTGTGAGAATCTAAACCCCGCTCTGCGAGCGAAGCCTGCTGCGACGCACATGGCAGCACGGGGACATGCGACGCGACGCGCATCCCAGCTCTCAGGCGCACCTGGGTGTCGGCAGACTTGTTCAACATGGAATCCATCTCCGTCACGGTGTCGTTGAAAGTTTCTGACACTTGACTCCTGCCTTAGTGTAATGAAAGGAGCCTTGCCTCTCTCCGTTCTTTACAAAACTGGTAACCAGCCTCAAAATGCGAACGGGTTAAACAGGTCTGGTAGCTGGCTTGCAGTCTGATAGATCTGGTCTGCAGGTCTGCACCTTTGTCTCAGCATGCTGAAAGAAGCATCCCAAGGAGTGTACTTGAAGAGAAAATTATAGCCATCTGCGACTATATATGTCAAACCCACGTCCTCAAAAGCCACTCTAGGACTTGCACGGGTATGAATGCTGGAGCGGAGCAATCTCAACATGTGTTCACGCTTCTTGGTGGCGTCGGCGAGGGTACACTACTAATGCGCTTGTAGCAGTCAAACCTTCCGAACGAGGTCATTGAGCCGGTCATGGTAAAACTAGGGCAGGAAACTTGAACTAATCGCATTGCAAGAACCCTATCCGATCCACTCCTGCCAATGAGCTTTTGTTGTGTTGACACCTCCTTGTGGGCCAAGTCGCTGTACTCAACCAGGTGCTTGAAAAAATGCTGCAAACAAAATAAACCATATGAGAAGCATAGAAGCAGTACCTGAAAAGAGATTGGCACAAAATGACACACGCGTTCGCCAATTGCATACTCACAGTGCAACCATCAAACATGCCATAATATCGGCTTAGCCTCACAAATTTCGAGGTTGGTATGCGTGACATTGTACCAGTTGCGGTACTCCATCAATATCCGAGCTAGCAGCGCCAAATCTGCACCGGTGCCGATGAGGAGTACGAGATGTGGGACGCTGTGGATTACCTTCACATACGTCGGCACATACCTGCAATGACCGGCTCGTGATTCTGGTACGGTAGCATGTACAGGTCAAGGTCAACACACCCTGCAAACACATGCGGAACCAAGGTGCTTGTACTTCGAGGGGGCGAGGTCCCTTATCGGCGTATCAGATGGGAACAGGAACCGTTTGGCTGCTAGCCCTTCGCAACAGATGTAAGTCCAAGCTTCCCAATGAAGCGAAAAGGTTCCAGCGGGAATGGCCAGCCGTGTGACTCGCTCGCATCAGCGGCATCAGAAGCAGGGTCGTTTCTGGATGGCGCGGTGGCCTCACATGAACGATGCAGGATGAATGCTTTCAATGCACCGGCTTCGGTTCCATGCTGCTCTAGTAAGCAATGGGGCTGCGGCGTTGTAAACAGGCACCTCGTCTGCCGTGAGTTTTGTGGTCCTTGCAAAGCACGTCGAGCCGTAAAAACAGCAACTCAACAACTGGTAATTCGCCTCGGCCCCCCCCGCCGAAGCGGTCACAGGTTTCCACAAGGACCCCTGTTTCCCCACCTTTTCATCCTCTCCGCAGCGACGCACACGCCCGTAGCCGGCAGCACGGAACCCCCCCCCTTTCTTGGATTTCGGGTTGACAACCCCCACAGTACGTCTGCTGTACAGCCGGGCTGGGGATGACGCGAAGCGCTTACGTCACCAGAACATCAGTCGCAACAGCAAACACCACGACCGCCAGCAACCCCCCCCGCAGTGTCGGCCTCAGCAGCATCCCCACCGCCACCATCACCACGTGACCATAACCACCACCACCACCACCACCACCGCCGCCGCCGACAGACGCAACAACAAGTACTAACTACTAATTACTATAATCGTTGCTGTTCCTCCTACTACTACTACTACGACGACGACTACTGCCACTACTTACTACTACGACGACGACTACGACTGTCACGGATATGGCATTTCGCAAAGTGCGATTGAAGGGTGTGAGCCGGCAACATCCGGCAACAATACACCTTGACTGCTGAAGCTTCATCGTCCCAAAGAAACGAACGTTGCCCTGTACAGCAGAACAGTTGCACCCTGACCCCCCTGCATTTCACCAGTGTGGGCGTAGGCGATGGTTCTGACAGGGGGGCATGGTGATTCATGGAAACGAGAGTGGTGGTGATGAAGTGAAATAATGATGTTCATGCTGCTGCTGCTGCTGCTGCTGCTGCTGCTGCTGCTGCTGCTGCTGCTGCTGCTGCTGCTGCTAGTGAAGATGGTGTTGATGCAGCTGATCATGTGGATGATGTGGATGTTGTTGATGATTACAGAAGTGTTTTCAACGATGCAGATAGATATGACGATGATGATGTTGAAATAATCATGACATGGAAGTTCGTGATGAATGTGATGCTGATGGCGCTGGTCATGTTGATTGTCATTGCGGTTTGGGTGATGACGATGACGATGATGTTCATGTTCGTGTGCATGTAGATGATGATGCCGATTGTGATTGTGGTGTGTTGGTGCTGATGTTGATGGCCGTGTTCGCTATCAACATCTATCAACTCTCCCTACTGCACTCGCGACTGCATGACCACATGCCGCCAAGACTCTCTGCTTCTGCCATGCAGAACTGACCAACCGACTTCCAGTTCGCAAACAACTGCACCCACGAAAATGGCCTGGGACTTAGGTTTGAGCCGCATCTGCCCGGAAGAGCACGCCTCTTTTTCTCTGTTTTTCGACTACGGGTACATTGTTTCGCGACAGTTACATGCGTGGTCCCAGTGCGGCTGCAGGCTACGCCATGCGTGCGTACCGTAAGTCCGCGCTGGGAGGCGGTTGGTAGCCGGGTCATATCAATCGGCATTGGCCTAAGCAGCACCTTCGAAAACTTGGAAAAAGGCTGCCGCATGCCTACCTGATATGCGTGGACCGTGTAAAATCTCTAGCATGCCGCGGCAGACTCAAACAAATGCGACCAACCGAGGACGCTGGCAGATGCGCCTGCAGAGCGCGCATGGACTGGGCTCGGATGCACTCGGCACCGGGCTACAAGCAAAAGGGATTTCGCCTAGCACTCGATGCGCCAATGCAGCTTCACACGTCCTCAGCAAAATGGCTCGGAAGAGTGGTGACGTGAAGTCCAGCAGCGGTTTCACGGAGTAAAACCCCACGGCATGCGCCGACAGCCTACTCGGCTTCATGGAGTGTCGCATGGCGCGCTGTAGCCCGGCGCGACCTCCGCTTCGCACACAGTCGCCCGCTCTCTCGCCTTTGCCAGTTGGCGTTGCAATCAGCACGAGAGGCCCGCGACTCGCTAGGAGTGCTGTGCTGCGACGCGACGTTGGTGTCCTCCCTTACCAGAACGCGTCACCTGCACCCATGCACCGTTGAGGTGCACGGGGGTGCGGTGAGGATCGCACAGCGATGCAAGCACTGCATGCACCCCAAATTTAACTCTAGACTCTAGGTCCTGGGTTCGGAGATAGGAAGCCGCTGGAACCCTGCAGCAGCTGTTTTGTCCGCGGCCTCCTCCGGCTGCGGGCTCTGCGCGCGCCGCCCGCCGCTGCGTCCTCCGATGTCCTCCGTCTGGGCGAGACGTTGGTGGGGAGCATTTTCCGCCGCGGTCCAGCTGGCACAGCCTTGGGCCACGCCTCGCCGGCCGCTCCACAGCCGGAACAGAGCGACGGCCCAGCCCTGGACCGCGTGCTCGAGCTCGCCGCCGCCGAGCCAAGACCGTGTGGTGGCTGAGTGGTACTAAAATGTGACACCTTCGGACTTGCATTGGAAAGAATCAGCTATTACGACATCGAGCGCTTCGCGAGCGCGAGTGGTGACAAGAAGACACTCGCCGGGACATGGCTGGATGTGTCGGGAACGACAGGGCCACTATGTTGGCTAAGGGCGTACCGCCCCGATGCCAGGGCACTCTTTGCACATAACGGGCTGCGAGCGCCAGGCACTGCGCACGCCCGAAACATCGAGCCGCCCGAATATGCCCGGGCTGTTCGCGGGAACATATTTACATATAGTCATGAATACATAAGAGCTATGCGAAGGGTTTTTTGCGAGGGTGTTTCACATTTACAAGCTCTTTGAGATTGAATGTTTCAGGATTCTAAAACATCCCGGCTTGGAGTTCCAGGTTCGATGCGTAAGGTGCGGGGCTGTAATGCGGCAACCTCGACTTTCGAGCGGCTGCCACGAAACGTTACCGGATTTGTCGCTCGCGCTACGTGCACAGAACAAGCCGCACCGCCGTTTGGCATCTGCCACCAGCAGCAGCAGCAGCAGGAGCAGGAGTAGTCGTAGTAGTGGTGGTAGTGATAGTAGTCAGTAGTGAATAGTGCTAGTGGTAAGGAATGCATGCAAGCGTGCCAGTACCCAGCCCTCCATCCATCCACCCATCCATCTACCGGTCCGTAGCAGCAGCAGCAGCAGCAGCAGCAGCAGTTTTAGTAGTGGTGGTGGTGGTGGTACTACATAGTACTACCACTAGTGCTACTACTAGCACTACTGCTACTGCTACTGCTACTGCTACTGCTACTACTACTACTACTACTACAACGACGACTACGACTACTACTATTACTACCACCACCACCACCACCACTACTACTACTACTACTAGTACTAGTACCAGTACTAGCACTACTACTGTTACTACGACTACTACCACCACGACTACCACCACCACCACTACTACCACTACCACTACCACTACCACTACCACTACCACTACCACTACCACTACCACTACACCGGCCCGCGAAAGGCAGTGCATTGGATGTTGGTCATGCGAATCCCCAACTAGACGCCCGCATTCAGAAAGGAAGTGCAAGGCAGTGCAAATCATAGTTCTAGTTGGGGACGCGTGGGTCCGAACATAAAGTTTTCAAGCCGATTTGAAGGCCAGAACCTGCCAATCCCCATGAGACGCCGTGCATGCACTGGTCCCCGAAGCATGGTCTGCGTGTGTGTCAACAACGGCAATCCCCATGTAGACTTTTTGCTTTGCTTTGCGCCTGTTCGAGTCCAAGACTACGGTCCTAAAAGGACATGGGGAATGTCAGGAAAAGCATATGCACGCCTAAGATATGGACAAGCTTTGCAACGTGCGCCATTCGGGCAACGATGCAGCACAATCGATCCAACTATTTCGGTCAAGGTGAGTCGCAGCGAACATGTTTAAGTCATCATCCCAGCGCGTAGCGGGACGACCAGGCTTTCGGCTCGGCTTTTCACTGAAATTATGCCACCATTTTTCTGTTGGTAACCATTTCGTGGTATAAAAGTGCCATCCGAGTTGACCCGCAAGTCGCGAAGCCAGTGTGAATTTACAACTTCGCAGCTGTTTTGTCCAATTGGGTATTGGGTGTTGGCATAAAGCGTAAGAGACCCGAGAGTTCATCCTTCTCATCGTGACCACCCACTCCTCATCGTCCACACGTCGCCAACCAACTATGGACCGCAGCATACGACGTTGAACAACATCAAGGTCAGTAAACTGTTTGTCAGTAAGCGGCAAAGTTGATAGTCCATACAGTACCGCCGGAGTCACAACTGCTTGAAACAGCTTCAACCTGTTCTTCAATGAGACATGTTTGTTCAGCAAGCTCTGCCGATGTAAATGAAACTTGTGCAACCCGAATACGGTGTGAGTATTCCACGGCTGCACGCTCACGGAGATTGCCACACAATAAACGTCCGAGGTAAGGATGTTGATCTTTACCGTGCAAAACCGCAATCATGTCTCCATGCACATCCAAATACATTGGCGATGCCAGCTCCGTTGTCGTCAAAATTTTTGTTTTCTTCGGATTGAGTTGCAAACCGACTTTCAGAAGCTCTTCCGACAACACTTCCAACATGTAGGCCAATTCAGATGACGATTTGCTGTAAATCATCAAGTCGTCTGCAAAGCGAATGTTCGTCAAACGTTCGGTGTGACCCACGTGAATACCACAGTCACGGATGCGGGATTTCCAAGATTGTATCGCTGCTTCAAGCCCAGCGTTGAAAAGCAAAGGGCTCAAAACATCACCTTGTTTGACTCCGCGCGTGATGCGAAATCTGCGGCTGCCATGAACAGATCCTGTCTGACCCAAGTACAATGCCTTCAATAGCTGTATGTACGAAGATTCCACACCCTGTTTCGCAAGTGCAGCAAACAATGCGTTGTGTTCCATGCGATCAAAAGCCTTCGTAAGATCTAAGCTTGCAAACCACAAGTTGCATTTCCACTCAACTGATTTGCCACATATGGTGTCAAACACTGCAAAAGCATGATCAGTCCCGCGATGCGGACGAAAACCCACTTGGTCGGGTGACTGGTAACTTTCCAGCAGCGGTTGCAATCGCGAGCACAACATCTTCGAGAAAATTTTGTAAGTCACTTTCAATATCGCAATCGGGCGCCAATTCGAAGCCACTGAAGCATCACCAGTCTTCGGGAGCATGCTGAAAACGGTATGGCACCACTTCGGATCCCAAACGTGTTCATGTAGCATATGGTTGTACATGCTGAGTAAGCACTGATGTAACATCCCGCCGGCATGAATAAACATTTCCAAGACCAAGCCATCGCCGTCTGCAGACTTACCATTCCGAAGCTGTTTCAAAGCCAACTGGAGTTCAGCATCGTCGAATGCAGGAATCTTGTCAACACACGACTGCGGGCAAGTAAAAGGCAATGACGCGTGACTGTCATCCTCAGTCGAAAAGATGTTCTCCAAAAAATCGGCGAAGTCATCCGGGGAAGGTTGCGTCGAACAACTGTGTCGTTTTATGTTATCATCTTGAACAGCATGAAGACGATTTAGGCTGGAAAATTCGCTCAGGATCTCGTTCAACTTCTCATTACGTCGTAGACGCATATGGCGACGCAAATGTTTTCGAATAAGCTTGGAAAGATGTGCCCGCTCCACGGCACATCTGCATTGCCGTCGTTGTTGAAGTAGGCCACGAAAATCTTCACGTTCCCAAGGCTTCTTTGCATCAGTGGATCGTTGGGTGCAACTTTCTGCCTGTTCTGCACAACGTTTAACACCATCTTCAAGCTCCGAAAGCGTCTGTGGCTTTGATTTTCGCAACCAGTCAACGAGCAATGATTCGTACAGAGTCTTTGTTGGGGCAGTCGGGTGCCATCCGCGTCGACAACGTTGACGCGCAACACGTGGTTTTCGACATATTTCAACCTCAATGCATCCATGCACTGCCCTGTGATCGGAACCTAAATCGAAATGGCAAGATGTACAAGCTGATCGCGCACTCAACGAAACATGACATAGCAAAAAGTCAATACGCCTCCTGATGCCCATGCTGCTTTCGAATGTCCATGCCTCCTGTACAGGTGAATCCCTGTTCAATGTTAATTTGTCGATGTTGGCCCTAGTCTCGCTGAAAAGGACCACATCCCACATGCATTGCTGCATCTCACCCAATAACTCCAAAAGTTTTGCGTTTGAATGAAGTCTTGCATTTTTACAATAAATGTGCATATGCGCCTGATTTGAATTCACTTGCACTGATTCATCGCCATGTCTTGCTTTCGTCGACTTAACCATGTGAACAGGTTGACCCGTCGTGAGCGACCGAGAATTTGCACCAGCTGAAAATTCAAGCTTAACGGAATATCCATTCCTGCATGGTATGCTGTGCATTCGCCCGTGTCAATGACAGAAACATTTTCAAGAATGGCTATTGTGGTTGCCTCCGATACAACTTCCTACTGTTGCCCGCGAAACTTGGTGCAACGTCTTCGGGTTACACCGTTCTAAGCAGACGCCGCGCATTCGGTAAGTCCGAGAAGTCAGTGCAAATCACTACAATCACCATGTAGACGCTCGATTTCAGAGTCACCCGCTCAACACAAACAGCAGTGGAACCACAGTACTTCAAAACCAGCCATTTCCCCACTACACGATCGATTTTCCGAAGCACCCGCTCAAGACACACATCACTGGCATCGCAGCGCCCGACAACCAGCCGTTCCTCATACCAAAAACCATGCAATATTGATACGAATAGTAATACTCTCAGACGCTGTCCGGAAGCTTGTGAAGACATACAGTTTGGTGGCCTCCGATACAACTGGGGCTCGAAAATGGGTATCCTGACTGGACCTAGAACGATACCTTGAACGATACCAGAACGATACCCTGAACGATACCCTGCGCTTTGGCATGGAAGCCGAGAGCCCAGCCAACCCTCCGTACCAGTACTAGTACTAGTACTAGTACTAGTACTAGTACTAGTACTACTACTACTACTACTACTGCTGCTGCTACTACTACTACTACTACTACTACTACTACTACTACTACTACTGTTACTACTGCTACTACTACTACTACTGCTACTACTACTACTACTACTACTACTAGTACTACTACTACTACTACTACAGCTAACTACAACTACAGCTACAACTACAAGTACAACTACGACAACGACCACTTTAATTTCCACAAGGTGTGTGCAGTACATCATTCGCAGCCGTTCACGAAACCCCAACTAGACGCTGTGACACTAAGCAACGCATCGCTTTTCACACCCCAGAGTACCACTACCACTGCTACTTCTACTCCTACTACCAGTACTACCACCACCACCACTACTACCACCACCACCACCACGACGACGACGACGACTACCACAACTGGGAACAAATTATGATAAGAGAAATTCAGACCTGAAACCACCGTCCTCGGTAGGTAATGAAAAGGAAAGATGCATCACACCTACGGCGACAGGCATCAAGGCAGCATCAGGCTAAGGAATCTAAAGAAAGTTATCGCTGCAGGTGAACAAAATGCACATGAGCAGCAATCGAAGATCGAGAATTAAGCGGATGTTGTGGCATGAAGACCAACCGCAGAACATTTTTCGTTTGAGAGCTGGGGGAAAATCAATCTCATAATTGCGCGTACGACTCTGCCAGATCTGACGCTGCTCATCAAATGCTGGACACTCTCGCAACCCATGCAGAAGACTGCAGCTTGGATTGCCACACAAACACATATGCTGCACGAAACCGTCCCAAAGTCCATTCACGTGTAACGCGTGTCGGAATCCTACCACCGTGCACGTCACACTCAAGATAGGGATGAAAGGCCAGGAAAGGCCTCAAGGAAGACACGGTCACAGCTTCTGAGTGGTATTGTGCCAATGCCTGACCTTGTACGAGAGGCATCGCGACGCCGGACTACTGACCTATTCCACAGCAGCTGCGCCGCCAGAGCACCCGGCACCACCCCACAAGCAGCCGGCAGAAGACCGCCACTGGATTGTAGCTGCAGCTTCACGTCGCGAGCCCAAGACCCTGGCGAGTGCACAGCAAAGTGGAACACCCGACTAGCCAAAGTACGAGCGTCATCCGTGCCGCCAGCAGCACATAGCCGGCCAAATAAGCTGAATTGCAATCGGCGAACTTCAACTGACAGGGGACGCCAGCCCAACTCGCCCACGACAACATCATCTGATAATGGAGAGCCGTACAAGAGCGATGGTAGCACATACGAGCGAAAGAGACTCGTGCGGAAACTGGTGCACAAACCTCGGTTCTCAGCCCAACCCAAGCACTGATGGAACTTGCCAATGCTCTTGTCAATACGGTGCGCGGCATGCTTTTGCCACTTCCTGGAGGCGTGAAACATCGTGAAACACCACCCCGAGGTAACAGTGTTGACTGACACATGGCACTCAGGCTCCCTGAAGGTGGAACCTGGAGCTAGAGGAACGTGAACCTACTACAAGAACAGGACCAATTCCAAAAGAGAAGTGCCATGAACTGCCACTGCGACCCCCATGCGCCTACAGCGGTGAGAGCACTTTGCAAGTCCGACTGGTTGTCGGCAAGGATGACAAGATCATCAGCGTACAACAGCAGGGGAAACCCGCGGTGCATTGGGACAGCTACCAAGCGCGACGCCTGGGCAAGCTGCACGAACAGCTATGATAAAGTTGTAGTACTGCTGGTATTGCCATAACTTTCGCGAAAACAATTCTTCAGCAGACCCATCGCGGAATTTTCGCGATGCGTGTTATGTTATGCCATGTTATGTCCGTGATCTTTGTGTATAAGTACCACGACAAGGACCTCTAAATCAATGCCCACATGCCAGTGTTAATGCGTGCATCGAGCGGCAGGGCGGAAGCTCTCCGGCCAGCGTGCAGATATTTGGTGCTGATGTGGCGGTGGCAATGTAAAACCGAGATGGCGGCAACACATGAGGGTGGCGGCGCAGACCGCAGTGTCTACGCGCCTGTCGCGGCCCAAGCGCTAAAGGCCTGTACGAGGGCAACCCAGGAAATGCCGGGTCGTCGCCATCAAAAGGTTAGACAGGTGCTCTTGCAATTCCACTTGCACCCAGGCTTGCGCCAACACGATGTTGGCCTCAAGTGGGCTAGCGGAGGGATATACGATCCAGTTGACCGGATTCATGGATTTTTTTCATCGGTGGTTGGACGACATATGCCACGTCTTCATTTTGTGGGCACGAACATGTGGGACAACTGTTGTTGTTCCCCCCCCGCCCATTTTCCTCCGCCTGCATGGTATGGGTTGCTGAGCGCACCGCGCAGCTGCCTACATTATGGAGTCCTCTCCGAGCGGATGCATCGTAGTACCATGCCCTTGTTGCTTGCGGGCACGCGATACCGCACCAGCAAACAAGGGAGTCGTATTGTGCCGTAGGTGAATCAAACATTTGCGTGGCAACCGTATAACTGCCGTGAGTGAAGCCATATATCCGGGCCCAGCTGTCACCCCAATTCCTCCTGGAAACGACCTGTGTGTGGGGTCCAAATCGTTGAGCGCTGCTGGCAGTGCAGCATACGGATGCATACGCAAAGCCGCGGCATGGCTGAAAATATCCCACGGACTCCGCATGTACAAAATCTCACATACGGCCGTTGAGTTCGCGCATGCCCGGATTTGCTAAAACTGTATTAATTATGCACTAGTTATGCACTGTCTCGCTCCTGGCAGTACCTCAGGGCCATCACACGCTTCCGCAACGTCATGCAATGCATCATCTGCATCAACAGATGTTGGGTTTTGACAACATGGCTCAGCGCTCTGTCGTGTGTGCGCCGTGCGCTTGCTTGTGATGATCGGGTCTGTGTCCGCGGCGTTTGTGCACGGAACAGCACGGATTATGAGGATCTGCGTTCCTGCGCTTGCATGCAACCAAAACGTCCCGAAAGGACTGACGAATAAAACGAGTGCAGGGCACAGGGCGCGCATCATTCGCCGGGGCGACGCCGACCAACTCGGGCGCAGTATGAAAAGAATGACGCAACGCGATTAAGCAATCCAGCGCGCAACAAGTTTTTGCAAAACAAGCACTGGGCTCACCCAGTGCCCTTTTGCAACACACATGTGTGGCTCACAACAACAATTAAACTTCAGCACAAGACACGTGCCTGGGCGAGATGCCGGGATGCCGGCCGGAGTCCATGGACCAGCAGCAGCAGCAGCAGCAGCCGCCGTAACCGCAGCCGAAGCCGGAGCCACAACAGTAGCAGTTGCAGTCGCAGAAGCAAATTCATGCATCAACTTTTGAGGATAAGTGTTTGCCCAACAGCCGTCAGCGAACAACGGCAAACCAAAGCAATGTGGTCAAGGTCATCGTTGTCACACGATGATCGGAGATCGCCACAAACGGCGTTAACGCAACCCCCCGTCTTGCAGGGTGGGCCAACGTCTCTTGTCGTTTCCCGACACAAAAAATCCGCGGTGCCTGCTTCGATGTGAAGAGCCGCGATGCTGTCCGTGTGCGGTGGGGCTCCGAGCATCGACTGCATCCGACACTGCGAAACTGGCAGATACCAGCCACACAAGTTTTGTCCCCGCGCCGTTGTGTCTTTGCGGAAAGTAGTGCAGCACTGGTGCAGCGTGTCCCGCGACGGCAAATACTTTATGTTGAAGTGCTGGCGAAGCGGCCGTCGACTTGGGGCCGCTCGCAGTCATGCACTCACGACCAACGAAGCGTT